AAAAATACCAAAATACACACCCATCTAAGTATTAAGACCATAGCTAACTCCTGAATATGCCCCAAAACAGAAATAGATGACCATATCAGCACATGTCCAGAGATGAGATAAAGTGACTGAGGAAAATGAACTGGAAGTAGATCTACACTCCATACTGGAAGATGGGCAAGTTTTGGAAATGCCTGAGAAGGAATTTAGAAAAATGATCATAAAATGTATAAAAACGCTATACAGACTCTTGGGTCAAATTGGCTGGCAGGTCCACGGTTGCAGCATCAGGCCGGTGGCTGGATGGTATCCGAAAATGGTATTACAACACTACAGGGTTCAATAAGCTTGGCTTAATGCAAGATGATACTATCTACGATAATGAAGATGTAAAAGAAGCTATAAGAAGACTTCCTGAGAGACTTTATAATGACCGGATGTGTCGCATTAAGAGAGCACTGGACCTGTCCATGAGGCAGCAGATCTTGCCTAAAGAACAGTGGACAAAATTTGAAGAGGATAAATTCTACCTTGAGCCATACCTGAAAGAGGTTATTCGGGAAATAAAAGAGAGAGAAGAATGGGCAAAGAAATAATCATGTAATTGAAATCTGTGGATGCAGCTGTCCTCAAAGTATTCTTATAAAGTTCATTAAACCTGAAATGTATAATTTAAGAGCTATTTGGGCTGCAAACGTATTAACTTTAAATATCTATTGTAATCTTTATTGGTAAAAAAAAGAAACACTATATGATGGAGTTGAAAAATATAAGGAAGAAGTCAGGAAAGCACTACAGGAACAATCAAATAAGCTAGATACAGCATTGGAAACAATTCAAAACCTACAGAAAGAGGTCCAAATGATTAATAATAGAACATCAGAAATGGACAATACACTGAAAGGGCATAGGAGTAGAACTGAAGTGATAGAAGCAAGAACTACTGAGCTAGAAGATAAATCTCTCAGCACTACTAAGATAGAAGAGCAAGCAGAGAAAAGTATTTAAAAAATTCTGAAGAAGGCCTAAGATTCATGTTGCACAACATGAAGAGGAATAATTTAAGAATTATCAGCATTCCAGAACAGGAAGAATCACACAAGTCCATAGAGGAGATAGTTGAAGAGCTTCTGGAAGAAAATTTTCCTAATATCCTGTAAAGCAAAAAGATAAGCATTCAA